GCTGGATAGCTACTAGGGATTAAGACTCCGGTAAAGCATAAGATACATTTAAGGAGGAGGATTATAAGCTAGGTATACTCCTAAGTAATGTACGGCTTCTCCTAGTAACGCCCGTAGAGCGTCTTAAAGCCGAAACAAAATTTATTAAGGTTGAAGCGATACTACTCTTCCAGGATATCGGTAGAATGGATGACCTAAGAACATGTAGGAGTTACTACGAACGGGACCGAGGTAGATAGGCGGCGAGTACATTAATCGATCTATCGAAGGAGACGAAGGGTTATACGGCTCTCCTAACGATTTCCCCATGAGGAAGTAGCCGAACTCTTAAGCCTATAGTGATAGCGGAGTTTACTATAGATGTAGGTACGGATAAGGACCTTAGGTCGTACACTGATGGCTCAGCTAACATACTGGAAGGCGGCTATTACTTCGGGGCTTAGCGTAAGGTTAGAAAACCCCGAATTAGAAAAGGGATACGTATTTCTAGCGGTAAACTTCTCCTTAAAACTAGGGTAGTACTAAATAAAGGACATACCCTCGTTACGGAGTCGGTATTCGAGCGGTAGTTCTAGGGTAGCACTTCCTACACCGCGGATAAACCCCTATGGATAAAGAGTCGGCTTTAGTGTCGGCGACTTAGGGTCTAAGGACTGGAGGTATATAGCGAAGAGACGTAGAAAGTCTTCTCGCTAGAGTAAACTATAGGATGGGGGAGGAAGAGTCTCTTTACCGATGTCTATATGTACGGTATCTTCGGTAAAATGCTGAGGGTTAAATTACCGTTCGAGCTAATAGAAGAAGGAGTCTATAGTAGTAGCCTATATGGCCGTCTTCTAGGGCTGTAATTTCAGCCCTTTACCCACGATGATGATCCGAGCATCTCGAAATTGATGATTACTAGGCTCTTCGGTACGGCGCTATATAGCCTCTTAAATAGCTGGGAGGTACATCGCGGGAATTTCGTACCGTAGATTTTAATGGCGGGCCCCGTCATCGATGGTCGTAGTTCGGGTTTCCGTACGTAAGGTACGGGTATTAGCCTAGGCTTACTGAAAATTAGCCGGAAGGTGCTGGAGACGACTAGGAGGGAGATAGTTACGGAGGCTAGGGAGTAAGATACGATCGGTCCAGTACTGGAACTATCGATCGGTAAGTCGTTATCCCTCTTTCTCGGCTACGCTAAGTGAAGAGGGCTAGTAGAGCCGTAGAAACACTAAGTACCTAGTAAATGCCTCCGCGCTAGGGAGACGAGTAAAACAGTAGTTAGGGATGTAGTGGAGGGGAACTCGGCGTTGATGGAAATGGCCGTAACTATTATAGTACTAGACCGCTATCGACTTTATATATATACTGGTCGTTAAGGCTCCCGTCGGTATCTGAGAAGGGTACCATAAGATGCCTTACCGAAAGACACCGAGGTGTTAAGTAAAGAGTATTAAGCTATCGATGTTAAACTTACTGGTGACTGTATAGTCGTAGATCTCTTCGACTAAAGGGTCTATATACGGTCGAAGATCTCGATCCGCCTTATAGGTATAGCCCGTAAAGAGGTAGTAAAGCTCTTCGGTCGTATACGTGACGTCTAGGCGCTCGATAGATGGGTTCGCGATGACGTTCGGGAGCTACTTATCTAGGGGGAAGTAGGACCGAATATGGTCGAGACCTACGCGGAGGCTTAGACGGTCGGCGGTAGGAGGGCCCTACTCTTAATTCTCGCGTTGCTGGAGGGTCTCGAGTAGTGGAGGCGGAACTTTAGGAGCATCCCGTATGAGCTCGAGTAAGGTCTGCGCGGGATCGGCCGCGAGTAATTGTATAGTTAAGAAGTGGGCGAGAGCGGTAGTAGGGAGAGGGGCCTCTTCATCTGAATCGGTAGAAGGGGAGCGTAGACGGGAGCGCGTCCTGGACCTCGTAAGAGATCTAGGGCGGCGCGGTGAAGGCTGTCGAAGGTGATTAAGCGGATGTAGACGTAGTAGATCAGGTCGCTCAGGTGACGCGATACGGGAGCTACGGGGTGAACCTAGGGCGTTTCGAGGTGTAGATGGATTCGATATATCTATACTTACGCTGGCCTACGATAAAGTTTTAATGTTTAGATCATTCGGCGCCCCGAGGTCGTCATCGTGGTTAGGGTTAGCTAGATTAAGTGCATCTTCATTAAGGTCTAAATCGGTATAGGGTAGTACATTATATAGTAAATAAGGGTGTTTAGGTCGAGATAAAGAAACATCTCGCTGAGGAGTAGCCACTTCCCATACCATCTGACTAGGGAACGCAAAGGCCGGCTAGGGTTATAAGACATCAGAATAAGCGCTGCATATTCCATCGAAGCCTACACACCTAATGTATTACGGTCTAATACTGATTACCCTGTACTCTCTCTTACCGCCGCGCTCGACGCGCGGCATTCCTCTTACGGTTATTCGTATACCGAGGGACTCGACCGCGAACCATCCTAAATATTAGAATTAAGAATAGTATGCCACGAAAGCGATGATAATGCCGGGATTTAGACTCGACATTAGATGAAAGTACGGAGGAGAAGATGGTAGTAGTGAAGCTCATTCGCATTCATGGACTATATATACCCATCGATAATCCTACCGACGGCGATGACTGTTACGTCAGTAACGAGGTTAGTGTCGCACTAGTGACTGATCTAAGGAGGCTAGAGCCTTAAGTTAGTTTCAGGATAATCGCAAGATCTCAGCTTCAGACTGCAGCCTCATAATATCTTATGAGAGAGACATGTCCTTACTGTACTTGATAAATGTTGATGTTTGTACTGTGTGCGAGATGTAATGCAGGTTCGGAGGCGTCGATATGATTAGTGCGATGGCACGAAATTTAAATTAGGTGTAGTGCCAGTGTAAATGCGTGGACATGATTGGTGTGATGGCACGAAATTCGAGAAGGGGTTAGCGTCTTCGAAAATTTCTTGGCACGACCTAACTACTCCTCGAGGACCTACACTTCCGTGCCACGTTCCTTCCCCATTTTTGGGAATATGAAGAAAAGAATGGTATCGACGTGCTCAGCTTGACGAGATCTATTAATTAGTGATAGAAAAAATAGAAATATTGCTGCTTGGTGTATGTGGTTGCGGTTGCGGAATGCCCTTTGGATACGGTCGTAAATATTATAGAGCTACTAGCGCTCCTCTAGAATATTAACCTTTTAGGCTCTTAAATATTCTTTTAATACCTTAACGCGATAGTAACCGGCGAGTAATTCTATAGAATCTAGGTTAACTCGCGCCTAGTCGAGGAAAGATAACTATATTACTATAGAATATCCTTCTCGAGACCGATCGCGCGATTAACTCACCCCTTTACGCGGTAACTATTATTAACTATCCCCTACGCTCGTCGCTCGATCCGCGACCATCCCTTACTAGAGGTTCTAGGGAATACTAGCTAGTATTCGCTCGACCTCGGCCCTAATATATATAATTCGAAGGGTATTCTCCCTATTAGTACGGTAGAGCCCGGTAGAGAAGGCCTAGTAAAGCTATCGTCGATATATAGAGTTAATCGGCCGATTCGTCTCCTACGTCTAGACGGGCGTAAGAACATCGGTAGGGAAAATAATAGTTATTAGGCGGTATAGCTTAGTTTACTTAAGGAGCGATAATTAAGTAAGAGAGGGTTAATTAGGTATAGTAGGACGTTAACGCTTTAGTAGTTAATAGTAAGTAATAATAGTATTATCTCCTTTACGCTTTATACTAACTCTATGTAAATAAATAAGAGTAGTATATAAGAGTAATAAGTAGTTAAGGGAAGGGAAGGTAGGAAAGAGAGGGAGAAGGTAAGAAGGGAAGAAGGAGAACTAAGGTTAATTTATAAAGCCTAACTATTCTATCCCTTAGGGGACGCTTTAGCTAAATCTCCCGGACTATCGTCTCGTAGTCCGAGAGATAGTACTCTACCTAAGAGAGGTCTATCCCCTAGGGGACGCTTTAGCTAGAACTCTTAGACGGTATCTCGTAGTCCGAGAGATTAGACTCTACCTAAGAGAGGTCTATCCCTTAGGGGACGCTTTAGCTAAATCTCTTAGACTATCGTCTTATAGTCCGAGAGATAGTACTCTACCTAAGAGAGATCTATCCCCTAGGGGACGCTTTAGCTAAATCTCCCGGACGGTATCTCGTAGTACGAGAGATTAGACTCGCCCTAAGAGAGGTCTATCCCCTAGGGGACGCTCTTAGTCGTAGTAAGTGAGCTACGACCGACGGGGGGTTCTCTCCTGTATAGTCATTTCCGGGAAATTTCTGGCCCTAACCTAATATCCCTAGGCCGTTTTTTCCCTACAGTATAATAAAATAAAAATATCTAACGGAGGTCGTTAACCTTAAGGGGTAGAAGAAGTATAGAGACTATATTAGTTTATCTACGAGACGGAGAGTCTATCTAAGTAGATATTATTAAAGAATAGACCCTAATAAACGGAAAAATCGAAAAAACCGGCGTTTTTTACGATGAGTACTAAGAGATATTCGACTTTCTATTTCCTTAGTACTTATTATAGAAAAAATCTTAGAATCCTTCGATGGGTACCATCGAGTAGGGTAGTAGGGTGGTAGGGTTAGGGTTCTTCTGCACTACGGTGATTTTCATGAATCTGAGGTGATTTTCGGATTAATCGAGGCGGACCTTCTCGAAATCAACAAAATTGAAGACGCCTAGAGTAATTTGAAGAGTACTGCGAAGTTTAGGTATGGCCTTTAGGTTTGGGTGAGCTTTTTTCCTGAAACAGTAGTAGCTTAGCAAACCCGGTGCTAAGATATTTCCTAACTAGGGAGGGCATCGGCCATGCCCAGGGTATCATATTAGTTAGGAGCTTGGCCGCAGGAAAGACACGAGGATAAATGATCCTTACATTATTTGAGGTCCGTAAGTATGTTCTTTCGTCATACTTATGAAATAAATTAACCTAATAAGTATCAGAATCCCCCCTGCAGACGCTCCGCCTATCGACTAAATCAACTTGAAGAACGACTAGTGTTGCACCTCCTCCACCTCCTGTCCTCGAGTCCTCTTCCATGACCGATACCCGAAATGAAACTGCAATACCCAGATACCAACTACAATGGCTCCCAGACCAACAAACACAACGACGAGCACGATGATGGCTACAACCGCAAACCACGCGCTCACTTCCTCGAAGACTCGCCAACTCCCCTCATCATCAGACTTGGCAGCCAGCACGACCTGCATGGCCGATAGGATCAACGACAGCGCCGCGAACACGAACAAAAGGGGGGCCGCAAATTCGTTGAGGAACTGGCCCGTGTGCCAAAATTGCTCCTCGTAGAACAGTCTGTGCAGGAACCCCTTGGTCGTCGCGGATCTGGGTTGCAAAATGCGCACGGCCCAGTGCAGACGCGACAGGCGGAGCTGGCCAAAGTTCCACCTACGAGATACCTCGGCGTCGCTTATTTTTGAAAAGCTGCGAATAAATGCCGCGAACACAGTGTAGGTGAGACCTTCTGTATACTCGTTTGGCGATGACGATGGGATGAGTTTCGCCTCCTTGGCCAACTCGAAATCCGAAGGGTACTGAATGAGCCGTCCGTACGAGCGCACGAACCCCAGCGCCTCGCCGCGGTGCGGCTGTCCTTGACCGAGGTTCTTCTTCCAGAATGAGTGACTGAGCAGGTAGTGCGGCAGTGGTTTGATGTAGACGGTGTCGGAAAACCAGACAAGGTGCAGACTCGGGTCTTCAGTGAGGACAATCTTGCGGCCCTTCTGGAGGTGTTTGTGGATGGGGTCGATGTTGAGGCTTGACCTACGACCGACAAAGTCGAGCAGCGGATATAGTTCCTCCAGGACTGGGCACGAAAGCTCTCCGCGGAGGCGGGTGACAGTATCAGGGGGGATGTCACAGTTGGCTAACTTGCTGATTAGCTCTTCAGTTGTGGTGAACGGAACCTTAGCAGCATCCATTCCTGGAATGCAAAATTCCGATTATGTAGAAAGATAATGGTTCATGATCGAACTGTTACATTGCGGGATACTTTCCCTTGATCAAAAGGAATCAGTTTTGCAGACAAGCCCCGTCGGAGTGTTGGGGTGTTATACACCATTGGGACATTAAGCAGAGCTCGGCTCTGGCAATTTCCACCAATGATGCTCAAAAGCCGGTCACTGTAATGCCACGTCACACATCACAGACGCCTATGGGGTTGTTTACAAGTCCACTGGGCGCTTTTTGCATGCGCTGATAGAGGAAAAATGCCACGTCACACATCACAGACGCCTATGGGGTTGTTTACAAGTCCATTGGGCGCTTTTTGCATGCGCTGGTAGAGGAAAAATTGCACGTCACACATCACAGACGCCTATGGGGTTGCTTTACAAGTCCATTGGGCGCTTTTTGCATGCACTGATAGAGGAAACACGCTCACCCAAGCCATGAATAAAACAGGCTGTCCCCAACTGTCTCGCGGCCATTCAGTCGATTGAACTTCTAGTCCACCATTGAATGACACCTTCAGAAACTCACCAAGGGCTGCCACTTCGACAAATATGGCGGGTAGCCCGTTAGGAAGCCTCATACTCGAGTTCTGCCTTGTCCTCGCTGTTTCTCCTGCCTTGGGCTCATTTTGTTTACAGCTGCTTGCGATCAGCATCTACCTAACTTATCGTACCTATGTTTGGTTTGCACGCTGGTTTGCCCGAGCGTGCCATGGGTGGTCGTATGTCGCGTTCGCGATTCACCTTTGCATTCTGGTTGCTCTTGGTCTCTGGTGCCTGTCACTCTCACCTCTTCACGTGTTCATGCCGTCACTTATGGACACTTGGATTCCATACTCTGTGCTCCCAACTCACCAAGCCGTTCAAATTCTATATGATGCTGGTCAGGATGCGTCACTTGAGTGCGTTTCCATACCTGACTAGGATCCCTAACATATGTCAGATGAGCTAAAACCACAAGCATCATTGCCATCCACGGGTTGGGCTCAAATCCGAGCAGTGCTTGGGCCTACCGCGACAACTCCACTACTGTATTCTGGCTGCGAGACTTGCTCCCGAAAGAAGATGGTTTTCAAGACGTCAGAATTGTCACGGTCAATCATCAAACACAATGGGACTCGCATAGCACCAGTCTTGGACTACATCTCCACGCAGCTGAACTGATAAAGCATATTGATGATGTACATAAGGTCGGACGTGAAGTATCGCTACCACAGCACCGTGGCTGACAAGTCGGCGAATAGTCAAACCCTACGCGTCCAATAATCTTCATGGCACATAGCTTTGGTGGAATTTTGCTCAAGCAAGTAAGTAATTTCCACTAAGCCGCCTAACCCGAAAGCTGATGTCAAATATTCTATCTACTCTAGGCTCTAGTTCAAGCAAAAGGCCGTTCAAGCCTTGCAGAAATGACTAGGGGCATCATTTTCCTCGGAGTACCCCATAAGGGCACCAGATTTGCATATGTGGCAGCGTGCTTAGCATGCACTGCGTTCTTCCGTGGGTCATCAACAGAATTGCTGGAGTTCATGTTCCCCGGGACACGAGGTCCCGCGGAGCTCGAATCTGCCTTCTACGACTATATACGCAGGGCCGACATCCCACCGAGCGTCCATGATGTTTGGGAAAAGAGACCTGAAAGAATGGGAAGATTTAGCTTTGGATCGGTAAGTTTGGGTGCTTGCTACTGCCAAGATGGGGAGTGTGATGAAACTGACATGAGGTCCAAAATTGTCTCGACCTAGATAGTGGGACCGATAGAAACGCAACCACGTCACGGTGACCTCGAATTTATGGATACTGATCATAGAGGCCTCATCAAATTTCGATCCCATGACGACCCGAATTTTCGAATCTTGCTGGATGTTCTGCGGACAATAAAACAGCATGCGATGGAGGAAGGTGCGTCATCACGACCCATATCTGATTATACTCCTCTGACGTTGAGCGTAATTTCCAGTCGGCAAAATCCCGTCCACCTATCTTCCAATTGATGAACCGGAGGTCGAGGTTGAGTCAATACTAGACGTAACCTCACTCGGCATGCCATTCCTCTATCCGCCCATGGGCACGATCGAGGCTGCTGGTTTCTACGGACTGCAAGACCTGGTCTCTGCGAGGCTAACGAGGTCCACAACGATGGAACTGGACTTTGCGTCTCGCGTCGTGAACTTTGCCTTGTATGGCGCAATAGTTCATGTGCCACTTAGTAGGTTTCTGATGTGGCTCCTGAATTTGGTGTTTAGTGGACATACGGGAGTTTTGGCCAAATGCCTACGAATCTTCATCATAGATCTCTGCGTAAGTGTCCCATACCAACCTCAACTACGCACATCACTGACCTGGCTGGAGATCGTGCCACTACTCAACCTCTTTTTTATTGCGGCCATCGTCTCAACTCACAACCCAGATCTCGCAAACAGACGTAGGACCCGGATGATACTGGAAGACAACTTGTTCCTCTTCATGGTAACATCATTGATCTTGACGGTTGTCTGCCCTGGGCTCGCGCATTTAGTTTTTCCACGACTTCTCTGGGTTCCGTTCTTTAACTCAGTCCATTTCTTACTATGTTTGGCTGTCAATGCTAATGTCAAATCGGCACCTTGGCCAACAGTATTACGAAAAGTTGACAGCAGGAGAGATGAAGCGGAAAGAGCACGTCGAACTGAGCCAGAGAATTGGCTGAGTCGCCACGTGAGGAAGCATGAAGAGGCGTGGAATGCTGTATGGTCAACAAATTTGTTCTCTGGTCTGAAAATTGGTTTGGATGAGGTATTCAAGTTTTGCTTACCGGGCGGGCCCCCGCCTCTACAGGATGAGACTTATGTGGTAGGCAATTTCTGGTCGACGGCCTTTTATAGGGAAGAGTAGCCAGATGGCTTTTGTAAGGGACGGTCGCGGGCAATGAGCGAATGGCTTCAAAGGCGGTTCGAAGAGGCTCTGACAAGATGAGTTTGCTATCCAATACTATATGCGTGGTTGAATACAAGACGAAAGATAAAGAGCCTCTCCGAAGATGGTTCTTCGAGAGGGTTCATATACCTTTGGTTCTACGGCCTAGCATTCCGTGAACCGAGACATTTGCGTGACATTCCATAATTTGGAGTGTCCGTCTGAGACCTTTTGGAATGTCTTCTGAGACATCCGGCAGCCTCGAGCGTTTCGATATGCTGCCTTCGTGATATCACAGAAGTGGTTTCCGCTGGGTGAGGTTGCGGACGCACTCCCACCCTGCGTAAGGGGGGGGGGGGGGGCAAAGCGGCGACGGCTCAGTCAAAGGGAAAGGGCGGGCGCTAGGTTTTTCGCATGAGAGTACCTGGGTACGCGCCCAAGACCTTTCATTAGGAGGCACGTGGTCAAGGCACGTGGTTTACCGACGCAGGTAGGGAAGCATAGGGATGTGCCCCTTGGAAAGCGTACCTGAGAAAGCGTAGATGGGTACGCGCCAAGACTTCATGGAACAGGACGCCGCGGTGTTCTAAATATAGGAGAAAGTAGAGAAATCTAGGTGGGGCACGTGACGACATCTGATCTTTACTGTGACTGGCAGGGATGCCAAGGACGTGTAATGACCGTCACGCTAGTCTTCGGCCGAAGGCCTTCGGACTAGCGCCGGTAGGGCCCTGTAAATTACTCGAAGGTATATAGTCAGACGGTCCCCAGGACCTAGGAGAATTCACCATGTTCCTCCATTGAATCACATTACACACGTGGGTCCTTGATCAATGTTCCAAATCCCGGAGGAGACAACGGCTCGTCAGCATTACCATTAAATGTGCGTGGATCACGGGAGCCTATATCGCGCAAGCCGTCTGGCTCAACTCCTGGAACTTCAACTGGAAAATCCCAGGACTGGAAATTGATTGCACCGATGAGGCATACCGAGGTGCTGTGGTGGCCTACCTCTCCTATGCGACGCAGTATGACGTGTTTCAAAGTCTTGTGCTGTATGTTCTCGGCAGTTTCACCAATGATTCCGTCTAGGCTGCGGCCTATGGTGGTTTGTATACTGGAGGTAAGTTCAGCCCTTACAACTCGTCCGACCATCAGTTTCTGATTATCTATATAGTTCTCAGTGCAGGTGCTGCTGTGTCTTTTGGAAAACGGCCACAGAAACCAACTACGGCAAGGAAGAGGATGTTATCATGCCCGTCCATATTCGACAGGAGATGGGCCTTGGGGACGACGTTGTCGTGCAGGAACATCTCGAGAAGCTCAGTAACAGCGTGAAAGAGACGGCGGTCTGATGCTTGGGCATCGGGATAGGGTGTTGTGCTCTCAATATTCGGGAAGGACAAGTCTCTCTGCACACGGGCAGGACTGGCGGTTATAGCTTATCAATCAGGTCTCCCCAGTCTTCATAGCACTGTTTCAACGCCAAACTCGTGTCAATATAGCCAAATATAAATCTATCCGCGCCGCGTCTCTTTCAAGTCATTTCGTGACACACTGCTCCACATTTTACGATAACTGACCAACCACTCAAGCACCTGAAGAACTACAGAGGCTCTACTCCGCTATATACTACGGGGAATTAGTCTAACCGGAGGTAAGGCACCCTCTGGAGGCCATTCTCCCTCGAGTGGCATACACTAAGGGTATTTAGTTTAGCCACGATTCACGAAACTTAAGCTCTGAAGTCTCGGAGCACCCGCATGCACTCTCATACTTCGCCCACGTACCCTCACGGTTCCTAACTTCAGACAAATTATCCAGGTGATACATCCCCAACAGCACTTCTATGTCGTCGCGGCGGAAGCTAAATACTGCTTGTTTTATCCGTCGCAAGCGAAAGGTCAGGTGTGATGCAGAAAATGGAGGTCCTTGCACCGCTTGCAAGAGAGCAAGAGTTGAATGCAGGTTCGTCCATGGTCAGAGGCTCGACACCTCACGGCTCTCATTATATTGTGGGATGCTCATTCAGTCCTTAGTTCCTTCTCCCATGACAGGCACAACCTTTACTTTCCCCCAAGACGAGCTTTGGGCAGGGTTCAACTTCAAACGAACAATTAGACGAGGTAGTTGATCCTCTCAGCGCATAAACACGTTCGCCAGTATCGCCACAGCACCTCCAGGAAACCAAAGGACAACAAGAGGAGAATCTTTCACGATTCTTCGGCCACACCGTGGTGTCATCAGAATAGAGTCTCTTCGACCAGAATGGTGTCATACGAATCGCCTTATTGGCACCGATACTGCCAACCTGAATAACCTTGTGCGGCCTCATGAAACGCGAATCCATGACACCCATCGGCCTCAGTACTTGCACTATCCCATCCCATCATTTCACCCTCCGCTACTTTGGAAACCTACATCGTACCTGCTCAGCGGACATTATGTGACACCAGATGCCATCACTGACCTGACTAGCTTCCCCGTTCGTGAAGTCGGCGACTCCTCGGTTGAAACTTACTTCACCGAGATCCATCCCAGTATTCCCATCATCGATGAAGCAGATTTCCTCCGAAGCTACGTTGATCCCAAAAACCCACCACTCTTACTCCTCTTCCATGCGGCTGTCCTCGCGGCAGCCTGAGTCAGTGACTATCCCATTTTGGTGAGGTCTCGAGCCACTGCTACAGCAACCCTGTATCGCCGTGCCCGTGCGCTCTTCAACCTTAGATACGAGAACGATCGTCTGTTCCTGGCTCAGTCGTCCATGCTCATGGCAGGACCCACTGAGAACTCGGACACGGTTGGATGCAATAGCTACTGTTAGATTAGCAACGGTGTGCGGGTTGCGCTAGGTCTGGGCATGCACCGCAAAGCAGCGACCATATACGTGCCAACATACGAAAGGCGAACCCATCGAGTCCTCCACAAGGTGTGGGAGTTCGGAGTCTAATTATCGTTCTAGATAAGAGTCAGTCCTGGAGTATGATGGGCTGGATACATCCCCCAGCATATTATTGGAATTTGTCGTTGCTCGACGGATAATCAGATCTTGCCTATTCGGGAATCTTCCCCATTAGATCCGAAATACTCGGCACAGTAACTTCCCAGCCAGAGTCATGCAATGGTCGTTCAGACTCGCTCATGCTGCTGGGGGCCAATTTCTGCCTCTTCGCTTCTGCATGTGCTCCGTCCTCCACGCAGATAGATGTAGTGAAGAGAGAGACCTGCAAAAAAAGTCCAGTGGACAACGGACCGCCTCGTAGTTGGCGCCTTATCACATATATCTCACCTACAAGCATACTTGGGAACTAAATAGACTCAGAGCTGAAGATCGGCAGTGCCAGAGGAAGGGTTCCACCTGTTGCAATATGCTTTGTACAAATTCCGGCCACCTCCCCTCGCAAATCTCTTACATCATCACCAATCTGGCGGTATCAGACTCCATTGCCCCTTGTTGATTCGACAGCATGTCTACACTGGATCATTCTACAGCGATATCGATCTCAACCTCAAAGAAAGAAAGAATCCAGCAGGTCAGAGAGCAAAGAGATACATCGATTGCCAAGGTTCAGCCCACCATAACGGCCTTCGCGGAGCGGCTTTCTTCCAATGTGACCACGGTACCAGGCAAAATTCTTACCGACGATGAAATCTCCATCACAGAAAAGCCAGTGCGAGAACTTCTCGATCTTGAGGCCCTGGACAAATACTTTACAGGGCATAAACAGCCCATCGGACCCCTCCCTGGCCTCCCAGTCAGTACGAAGGAGCACATCTATATGAAAGGATGGGAGTCGAACTTCTCGTACGTTGTCCGCGTGGGAGCGATTGCCAGGACAAGTTCGGCTGTTTTGGAGACTCTTCATGATACTGGCGCCATTTTCTTCACCAGAACGACTCAACCACAAATCTTGGTAAGCATCACGCATTCTGGCTGTGGGTCGCGTGGGAAATTAACTGCTAACCCAGCTTGTAGATGGCCATGGACACTTCATCCGAGCTTTATGGAAACCACGGTCAATCCATATAATACAGCCTTAATCTGCGGAGGGAGTTCGGGTAGCGAAGGTGCCTTGTTAGCACTGAGGGGAAGTCCCTTAGATATTAGCTCCGTTACTAGTAGGAGCATATGCCAGCCTACAGGCGTCAATGGACTCTACGGATTCAAACCCTCCTCGGGTTGGCTGACCCTAAGGAATGTCAGGTCTTTTCGGAGGAAGAGAGTAGATCCCCAGCGTGATTGGGCCCATGTGCCCCAGTTTGGACGACGTCGAGCTTGTCATGAGAGTCGGCGCTGGGGGTCGACACGACAGGATTGACCAGAGCATACCCCATGGAGAGATGATATCGACTTTCTCAAAAGAGGTGACGGCACACGCAGGTTGAAGGTCGGTATCCTGTGGGACGATGGTCATGTCACACCACATTCACCAGTGGGGAGAGCTCTTCGAGAGACTGTGGAAAAGCTCTTTGCACGCGACGACATTGAAGTGGTGGAATTCCATCCACCTGGCCACCAGCAGGGTATGTTGGGTTTATTGAAGGAGGGCGACGAGGAACGAAGACCTCTCATCAAATGGGCATTCCACGAGAACCCTTGCATGCGGCATCACAGTCTGCGTGAAGTCTGGGAGTGGACTGGAAAGAGAGACGCCTTCAGGGTCGATTATCTGTCTCGCTGGAACGCCACGACTGGAAAAGGAGGTTCCAGTTCATATGAGGAGGCGATGGATGTGCTCCTCTGCCCGAGCTTCCCTGGTGGTGCATTCCCTTTAGACAAGACAAAGTACTAGGGGTATACCTCCATCTTTAACCTTCTAGACTACCCAGCCCTAGCCTTCCCCGTCACGACCGGCAATCCAGAGAAGGATCGAATCGACGCCGATTCCAAGCCCCGGAACGAAGACGACAGGTTGGTACAAGAAGTCTCTAAGTGCTCGGCGGTATGGCTCTCTACACATTTATACGCCTAACCTAACCTCTATCAAATTCAGATGACCCGGAGCTCTATCGTGGGGTCTCTATTTCCTGCAACTGGTGGGGAGACGGCGGGATGACGAAAAGGTAGTCTGCGCCCTCTTGAAGGACTCGATGCTCAAGCTAACGACTGGACGCGAGGTTTTACAATCCATGCCGTTCATTGAGCAGAGAATTGGGGTATCGGATCTCGCCAGTTCAGCCTCCTCGTGATACATATTCTCGGGTTGGAGCCCACCACCCACCAGGGAAGACGATTTGAGCCGTGCTCTCCGAGAGGAAGCAGCCTCTGCGATGCGAGAAAGAAAAGTGGCAGGTAGTTTTGATCCTTATGACAAGGAGGTTTCTACGGAGCTTGATGTCGTTACTACTTGTATGTAAATAAACCCGCGGATATCATCTGCCGGTTGAAAGATCGGCGGGAATCAAACACCGAGATCGAACATATCGTCCGTCTTCCCCTCACACGAAGAACGGAGCGTCGACACAGTATCACACACTTGGTACACATATATATCGTTTGGTGGGGGCAATTCACACACCGACCTCTTCCCGAGTGCTCTCACATCCCCTTGAAGGCTCGTGGTAAGCATTACTTCTTCAGGCTTCTCTTTCTAGTCTGTTTTGCAGAAATGGTGCAGCTAGGCTCGAGCGGCCCTAGTTTGGCAACCCCAGGGCCCAAGTATGGACATCTTTCCGAGGTTGACCCCAACTTTGCTCTTTTGAAGGACGAAGTCGACAAAAACTTTGCAAATCTATGGGCGCTTCCCTTGGAAGAGTTCAAGGCTGCATGGCTGAGTGCGCCAGTCCCATTGCCAGACAACGCACCCGAACCAGGGAAGGACTATCAGGTTCTAAACAAGGAGGCTGTGGTCAGGGACGGCGCCCGAATAGGTCTGAAGATATACAAGCCTCAAAACTCCAATAACGATTCAGTGCTGGTTCTCAAAAGCCATGGCGGAGGTAAGTAAGCTATCGTGTTGACTAAAGAAAGACTCTCATTGTAGACAATCCAGGTTGGGTAGTTGGTAGCCACGAGGTCGAGGAGGTGGATAATCGCTTCCTCGCTGCCAAAGCCGGTGCGACGGTGGTCAGTGTGGACTATCGTATGGCACCTGAGTATAAGTTTCCATACGCCATCAATGACTGCTTCGATGTGCTGAAGTGGGTAAGTTCATTAGACTAGTCTGCGCATACACGTGTGATGATACTAACAGAATCTTCAGTGCAAATCACACGCTTCGGACCTAGGGATCAACCCCGAAAAGATAATCGTCGCTGGGGGAAGTGCTGGAGGCAATATTGTGAGTGTGACTGGCAATAAAATGTCTGCATCCTGCTCGAGCCGTAGGTTAGTAACATGTCGACAGGCTGCTGTCCTCGCACTCAAGGCTCGAGATGAGGGTGTTACGGGAATTATCGGCCAGATATTGAATATTCCTGTCACTTGCCATCCGGATCTCTTCCCGTCAGACAAGTATGAAGGCGGCAGCTACCAGCAGAACAAAGATGCGAGTATCATTGATGCACCGAAGATGAGGTGGTTCTGGGATCAGTATCTGCCAGACGTGCAGCCCGATCCTTATGCGAGTCCGTTGCTGGCAAAAGACCTCAGCAATCTACCTCCAGCTCGTAAGGGCTTTCCATTCCAGCGCAAATCCGATATACTGACTGTAGCTGTAGTTATCCAGATCGCTGGTATGGATCCGCTTCGAGACGAAGGCCTTGCATACGCCGAAGCACTCAAGGCTGCCCAGAACTCGGTGACGGTAAACACATTCAAAGGCCTCCCTCACGGCTTCTATTTCTTTCCTCAACTTAAGCAGACACTGGAGTTTTGGGACAACTCGGTCAAGTTTGTCAAAGGTCTCGCGGCCAAGGCGTAGTTATCAAGACACCTCGATCCTTAATTCTTGATGTCTGTCTCAGCATACAGATTTCTGCGATTGAAGTAAAAATAGCAAGGGAATGAGCAAGGAAGCAAGGGACAAGGGCAATCTTAGGGGGAAGCTCCACAAATTCACAAGTAGCCGAAACCGCAACGTACGGATCGTGCATACTAAATGCCTACGCCATACCAGCTTTGTACATGCCACCGCGGGGAGGATTGTTGCTTCAAAAAGCGGGGTTGTGGAACAAGTGTCAACTACCGACGTTGGAGCATGGAGGGGCTGAGTTGTTGAATTCTTCATTTCTACATGATCAAAGAAAGAGTGAAAGTATCACAAACCTCGTATTGATGCTGTCAGATTGCTTATGACACCATCAGGGGTAATCACAGCTCTCTAGAACTCAGAACCATCAGACCTCGCGCAGCCCTCATTCATTATGTCATTCGATCAGCAGCTTGAATCCGCCGCCACGCCTGGTCCGGGCCGAAAGATTGTTGGAGCTGTCGCGATAGCAGCTGATGCTTCCGGTGAAGTAGCATGATTGCCACCATCACGGAGTGGCTTTGGCTGACAGCGTCCAGGAAATACCATCTACCATGGCGCAAAGGGCTTCACCTCTGTTGTTCCGGAGACCGCCAGGCCGATGACGGAAGATACCACCTTCTGGATTGCTTCGTGCACAAAGCTGCTGACTACCATTTCGGTCATGCAGTGCGTAGAGCAAGGTAAACTGAGCCTTGACAACGATGTCTCCACAAACCTCGATGAGTGGACGTCACCAGACATCTTGACGGGGTGGAAGCCAGACACTGGAGAACCAGAGCTCAAAAAAGCAACGAAGAAGATAACTTTACGCCAGCTGCTCACACACTCTAGTGGCATGGGTTATGATTTCCTTTCGCCAGAACTTATCAAGTGGCGACAATGGCGTGGGGAATCAAGCCGTCCAGGGGACGGTGATATTGTGAGCACTATACCTAGAATATTGGCATCTTCTGAGCTCTGACGCCGTGATTCAGCGTAAAGGGTACGTGATGCCTTTGTTGTACGAGCCAGGGGAGGGTTGGAGCTATAGCTGCGGCATCGACTGGGCCGGCAAAATGGTCGAGCGCGTCAATGGGGGCATGAAGCTTGGTCAGTACATGAAAAAGAATATTTGGGATCCTTTGGGAATGGCGTCCACGAGTTTCCGTCCAGAAGAAAATGAGTTGGTGCGCAGTCGACTATGTGCCACGACCGCCAGAACACCTGAAGGAGACCTTGTGCCAGCCGACCCATACCCTCATCATAATCCGAAAGACGACCTCGGTGGCGGGGGATTATATTCGTCCGCACCAGACTATATCAAGGTGCTCATATCCTTGCTCAAAAATGACGGTCTTCTCCTCAAACCAGAGACCGTAAAGGTGATGTTCTCCCCGCAGCTTTCGAATGACGCTTATTTGAATGCAACAATGGCCACACCAGGGGCAGGTCCCATGTTTCGAGGAGGCGTGGACAGCTCGGCCTGGAATTTCGGCCTGGGAGGCATTTTGAACATGGAAGACGTGGCTGGTGTTTGCAAGAAGGGAACAATGACCTGGGGTGGCCTCCCAAACCTCTTCTGGGTGCGCCAGTCCTGGAAATACCTTAAGTGACTCTGGAGCTGACCGTTCAACAGTGGATCGACCCCGCCGCCGGCAATTGTGGCATATACGCATCCCAGCTTCTTCCTCCAGGCGATCCCGAGACTATGACTCTCGCAGTTGCTTTTCGCAAAGACATCTTCGCTCGCCATGGTCCATAGTGTCCAGACGGTGCCAGAAGGATCGACTGAAAAATGCTTCGATACCTTCGGAGCAGGGATTTTGTGTGGGGATATCCATCGATGATCGGTTGAGGTTGGCACCGGGGATACTGGGCATCTTCACCGCTTAGAGAGCTGAAAGATGACAGCTCGAGCCAACAACATGAGAAGTGCAAATCAATTATATCCCAATCTTCGCTCTTCGCCCGTGAGGATATAGCTTCTGTAGTGATCATAGAACACTGGTTCGAAGGAGGGTGCAGCGCTACCATCGTGTTAGCTACCTAGATAAATGCGATTTACATCAGAAGTGACACTTCATCCAAGTATCCAAGTCAGGAAAGAGACAGACAGTGGCTGAAACAGCCCAATATTAGATCGATACCCATTGCCGAATATGGCAACCCCGAGAAATCCCCGAGCTAAGATGAAGGTATCTGGCCCTGGTCTCAGTCGATTTCAGGCTGCGAAGGCGTCCCATCAGGTTGCCGGTGATTCGGCTCAACCAAACTGGTTCGTTCTTGGTTATTCAAGGAGGCTTGAAAGGCGGTACCAAGGTTTTGCGGATACGGGTCAGCTGTCGACACAAATGCAGGATCCATGTTCATTTTTGCGCCCTAGATTGACATGCTGACAAGTTTTGAGTAACGTAAGCCGAAGATTTTGACCCTAAGGTCGATTCCAGCGCAGATAGGCACAGAGTTCCAGGACGTTCTCGGCCATACTGAACATGCGAACGAATCGTAACGTAGGGAAAGTCACGGCCAACGTCTGGAACACATTTCGAAGGCTGTATGGCAACAGGTCAATGAACGATAGTTGGGGTCCGCCCTTCTGTCTGCAGCGTATTGATCAAATTATGGCCGGGGGGGTTGGTACATAAGGTATAAGAAGAGACTCTTTGCTCATCGATGAAATCCGACAAACGACCATAAGTCGACACTCATCTCTGTAGACCTCAATTCTGTCCTTTGAAACACCTCGCTATGCCAACTGGAGGTTGCCTTTGCGGTCAACTCAGATATGAGTATACCGGTGAGCCTGTTATGAAGGTAAGAGTCATTCTTGCAGTCTCTTGGCGGGTTTGTGGCTAAGTGGTCTAGGCAATATGCCACTGCGTAACCTGTCGACACGTCAG